TTTCCATTTTAAATATGTATTTAAAATGGAACTATTTTAAATATTACCCAGCCCTGGTTACGACTCATATCGATATCGATATTGTCATCAAAAGTTGTAGAATATGGGTGCTCGAGTGTGAACCATTTGTGTTATCGATAAAATTAGCGTCATTGTCGTTTTCGTTTCTGTCTCATTTTTTTGTAGTAGGTTCACGAAATAAAAATTCCTTTTTCAGGATTAAAATATTCGGATAATATTACAGACTTTTTTATCCATTTAACCTTAGTGCGGCGTCCAACGCTGAAGATAAAGGTGGATAAAAAAGTCTGCATATTCATATTTTTTGTAGCATTCTATACCACATACCCCAGGAACAGGGGGTCTATTCTTGAAATGAGGACTTTAGATATCGCATATGATATCGCATGCGTTAACAAAAATAGTATTCTTGAATGGGTGAGATGTATCGTATGCGAGAAAATCTCGAATGACTGATATCGAGTGGGTATAGCCCATGCGATATGCAAGTCGCATACGACAAATATAGTAATAAGTGCGACTCTCTCGACAAATTGCGGTTAATGTGAAGTTTTAATTTAGCAATGGATATGGCATATCGAAATGCTGTTTTTTTACATATCAATGAGCAATTAGAAAATGTTTATAATTATAATGATAGACCACGTTTTCACATAAGGGATGATCCATTTCAATTATCTGAAAGGCAATTTATAAATATTTTTCGATTGAAAAAAGAAACAACAATCAGGCTTATTGATATTGTAGACAATTATATAGAACCATCACGACCTACTGCTTTACAATCAACTTTACAAGTAAGTATAGACAATACATACAGAATATAAATTAAAGTAAGTATAGACAACACATACAGAATATAAATTATTCTTAATAAGACTTTTTCTTAGGTTTTAGCAGCATTACGCTTTTTTGCATCAGGAAGCTATCAGAATTGCATAGGACATAATATTTATACAGCAATTAGTCAACCTTCTGTTAGCAGATGTATTCGCAATGTAACTAATATTCTTAATTTACCAGAAGTATTTAATAATTGGGTTCGTTTTCCTCATAATATTCAGGAACTGCAACAACTACGTAATAAGTAAGAAAGAATATAGCCTACATTAAGAATTATACATAACTGTGCAGATAAAATTATTACATCACATTATATATATTTATATGTACGTGTATATATACACATAGATTTTGGATAAATCATCGCTTTCCTGGAGCCATCGGTTGTATAGACTGCACTCATATAGCAATTGTTCCACCTCCAAAAAATGACGAAAATTATCCTGAACATATTTATATTAATAGAAAAGGATACCATTCTATAAACGTACAATTGGTAAAGAATATAGTGCATTAACAATTCAATTAGGCATTTATACAAATAATGTAATTAAAGCTTTATTTGCAGATATGTGATTCCGATCTTAGAATAATGAATGTGAATGCCCGATATCCAGGAAGCACTCACGATTCATATATCTGGAATAATAGTAATGTTCTTCCTATTATGCAAGAGATTTATAATCGTGGACACAATTTCTTTTTACTAGGTAATACCGAAGAAAAGAAGCTGACGTTATTTGTCACCATTTTGTCATCAAAATGATGATAAATAATGTTAGTTTGTAACATTATATTGCTTTACAGGTGACTCTGGTTATGCTCTTAGACCTTGGATGATGACTCCAGTAATGGATAATGAACTTAATATTGCTACGAGAAGATATAATGATCAGCAAAAGAGCACTAGATCAATCATTGAACGTTGCAATGGTCTCTTAAAAATGAGATTTCGTTGTTTATTAAAACATAGAGTTTTACATTACCGGCCAGATGTTTGTTCAAAAATTATTAATGCTTGTGTAGTGCTGCATAATATGTGCATTCATGACAACGTGCCTATACCTACACTTGAATTAGAAGATGAAATATTGGACTTCGGTATGAATGTTATGGATGGTGTAAATGAATTGGAAATAGATAGAGCAGGTAGAAATCACGAACTGACAGTTGGCCGAAGAATCCGCAACAATCTAATAAGACAGTATTTCTCATGACAATATAGTTTTTAAGACTCATTTTTATTTAACATTTTATATTTAAATAACAGAAAATATATGTTAATAATAACAGAAAATACATGTTAATAATAACAGAAAATACATGTTAATCATTTAATATATATTAGTTCAAACGTAATAATTAGTAACGTAATATGTAATTATTAAACTAAATAAAGTAAAATTAAATTTTAATCAACGTAAAATTTGAATATCAATAAAACTCACAGAAACTTTGGTTTACTTATAAATAAATACTCTAATATTATTTCACAGCTTATCAGTTTTTAAACAGTTGCTCCAACAATGTGCATATTTTTTCTTTAGCAATAACATCTCTTTTTTTTAGATCTAATTCCATCTTATAAAGTTTTAATTTTTTTAAATAATATGATTGTCTTATCTCGTAATCTTTCTGTGAAATTGTAGTCAATTTTTCAGTCTGTTCTATTGATTTGTCATATCTTTGTGCAGCAGTTCTTTTAATACCTTTTTTTATTGACACCGAATTTAAAGTTGGTGTTATAGAAACGTGTGATGTATTGATAGTTGCAGTAGTTGGCGTTTCTACTTCAATTGTTTTCATGTTCGTTGAAGATTGTTTAATGTTATTAGTACAATTGTCATTGTTTAAACTTATTTCTGATGCGTCATTTTTTTCAGGTATGCTGTAATAATTATTTTGAGGAAACAATGAATTTTGTGGGGGTATAGGTTCTTGTGTTATCTCTTGATTAGTGCATATTATGGAAAATCTTTCTCCATCTCCATCATTATTTACGTTACATAAATTTGAGTTATCTAACCACTCCTGCAAAAAAGTCAATATATAGATCACTATCCTAATATTAATTTCTTTACGTGTTTTAGAAATTATTATACAATATAACAAGGATTGCTTACAAATTGTACGTTAGATTCCTGTATTGCCTTATGTCCTTCTACGACTGTTGAACCTATTAGTGCTAGGACATTTTGATCAATTTCTGTTAAAACCTGATTTGATGCAGGCCCTCCGCCAGTTTGTTTTGCATGCTTCTTAATTAAAGTATTTTTGGCTTTAGTGGAACTTCTTATGTCTTGCCAAGTCTATAATACAAATAAAATAGACCCAAATTATCGAAAGTATATAAATTCTTCTCGTGTTTCAGTATAATACATACTTTTCGCCACTGTTTCCAACTTTTTACTGCACCTGGTATTTTATGTAATTCATCTGTTGCTTTTTCCCATAATTTTTGAGCATGTTTAAAGGTAAATGTTGCAGAAAATTTGCCACTTTGCAGCTCAGGATGTTTTTGCATAAATTCTATAATTTAACAATTAAATATTATAGGATATTTGTATTAAAAAATTAATAAATAATTATTACTGGTCTATAGCTATTGTTTATTCAATTATTATCTTTATACATAAACACGCATTTGCTTTTAAATTAGTAATACATATATATCTTTAAATATATTTGCTTTTAAATTGGTAATACCTATATCTTTAATTATAAATTGAAAAGTTTTAAAGTAAAAATAAAGCTCGTTTCTAAATTGAAAAGAAAATCTGTTAAGCTTAAAATGAATTTTGCATATCTAGAGTTTAAGAAAAATTAAACAAATTGAAAGCACATTACTTACCAATCAGTAAATTTTTCTGTTCTTCATTAATATATGCACAGCGTTTTTGCACTGCATTTAATACTGATGCCATTATCACTATTAATATTTTGTAAATGATATGTATTATTTTGATACATAGAGCATTATAACCTTTCAAAATAAATACGACCTGTTACATTCTCTTATAACTCCGTTCCTATTGGTTTATATATTTTCTTACACGTGGCAACGTTGCACAATTATCGTATACGAAAATTACCGCTAACAACATATCGCATGGTAACTGAGAATACGATTTCGAAGTCGCATACGATACCGACCGTGCGATATTTTCCGTATACGATAATTATCGCTAGGTTTCAAGAATAGACCCCCAGGTACGTTAGCATGAAAATTTTAATTGTGGAGAAGGAATTTTTAATCTCTCTGGATCTATTAAGAAGAAATTAGACAGGAACGAAAACGTCAAAAACGATAGATTTTTATCGATAATACTGGCGTTTCTAATATTCCTTTAATGAAATAACGCACGGGATTGATGAACGAAAAATATATTAATTTTTAGAGGAATCGATAATGTGCGTTCCTTCTTTTCCACACGATATGTTACATTCACGAATTCAATAAATCTGCCAACTTCGTGTTCCGAAATAATAATCTCGTCTTATCGTGTATGAGAACAATGCGATCGTGTTAATAATTAATATAATAAATGCGAACAGTTATTACATTTGTAGTTTGTACATACTAAATGAATTAAAAGCGTTTTATAAATGGTACCAGAAATCACCACTTAAATGTACAATGTACATTTTCGGGACCAACCGAAAATTTAACCGTTATGTTAATATGAATACTTCGCATGCGATTAATTTTGCAAGTAATGAAACTTTAGTGAAATTTGATTGTTAATTCTCTTTGTTTTCTATTATACATTAATGTAGTATCAATTTCAAGTAGTATGTACCTACACGTTCAGGATATTAAGGTTCTTAGAATTTGAAGCAATCATATACGTATCAAAATGCTGCACCATTATTCTGTAACTCTTAATGTCATTGTAGATATCGTTACAGTGTCGTTGTACTAATATTTAATATGGTATAGAAGCTGCGTTACGATATCGTTATTATCGTTAAAAGTTATAGGATATGGGTACTTGTGTGTGAGCCACCTGTGTCATCGATAAATTTAGCGTTTTTGTCGTTTTCGTTTCTCTCTAATTTCTTTGTAATAGTTTTACAAAGTAAAAATTTCTCCTCCAGGATAAAAGTATTCAGATTAATATACCTGTCCCTGGTGTATTTTGTGTCCAAAACTGGAAAAAGTATGAAATTACAGACTTCTTTATCCATTTAATCTCAGTGCGGCGTCCAACGCTGAAGGTAAAAGTGGATAAAGAAGTCTGCAATTTTATATTTTTTCTAGCATCCGATACGATATACACCAGGGACAGGTACTTAAGCATAAAAATTTTAATTGTGGAGAAGAAATTTTTAGTCTGTGGAACTACTATGAAGAAATTAGACTTGAACGAAAACATCAAAAACTATAGATTTATCGGTAATACTGGCGTCTCCAGTATTCCTTTAATTAACTAAAGCGCGAAATCGATGAACGAAAAATTTATAAATTTTTAGAGGAATCGATAATATGCGTTTCTTTTTTCACACACGATATATTATTTATATACACGAATTCAATAAATCTGCCAACTTCTTGTTCCGAAATAATAATTTCGTCTTATCGTGTATGAGAACAATGCGATCGTGATAATATTTAATATAATAAATGAGAATAATTATTACATGTGTAGATTGTTTTCATACTAAATGAAATTAAAAGCGTTTTATAGACGGTCCCGGAATGTCCACTTAAGTGTACAATGTACATTTTCGGGACCAATCGGAAACTTAACCGTCATGGTAATATGAATACTTCGTATGCGATTAATTTTGCTCGTAATGAAACGTTAGTGAAATTTGGTTGAAAATTCTCTTTGTTTTTTTACTATACATTACTGTAGTGTCAATTTCAATTAGTATATGTACCTACACTTTCAGGACATTAAGATTTTCAGAATTTGAATTAATCATATTACGTATTAAAGAAATGCTACACTATTATTCTGTAACTCTTAATGACATTATCGGTATCGTTACTAATAGTGTCGTTGTACTAATATTTTATATAGTATAAAAATTGCGTAACGATTCATATCGATATCAATATTGTCATTAAAAGTTCTAGAATATGGGTGCTTGTGTTTGAGCCATCTGTGTTATCGATAAAATTAGCGTTTTGTCGTTTTCGTTTCTGTCTTATCTCTTCGTAGTAGTTTCACAAAATAAAAATTCCACCTCCATGATTAAAATATTCGGATGATATTACAGACTTCTTCATCCATTTAACCTTAGCCCAGCGTCCAACGCTGAAGATAAAAGTGGATAAAAACGACTGCAATTTCATATTTTTTTTAGCATTCGATACGACATGCACCAGGTACAGGTACGTTAGCATTTAACCAAATGAAATTATTTATTGGTCCCGAAATTGTACAATTTATATTGAAGTGGTCATTTTCAGGACCGTCTTAAAATTGTTTTTATTTTATTTATGTATTTTGTACAACTCCGTAATGTAATTATGGGGAGCGCTTCACTTGCACACTGTAGCTATTGCCCACTGCCCATCACAGCAACTTCTGCGAAGGAAATTTTTTTAACTTTTTTTCTAGCGTTGTGATTAGCTTGTGCGCAACTGGCTAGTGTGCAATTGATATACACCTATAATTATGTCAAAATGTTATTACAAGTAATGCTACCCAAGTGTAAAACTGGGAACGACTTCTGGTTTGGAAAATTTTGTAGAGAATCGAAAAACATTTGACACGTTAATTTTCTTTTCGGCAGACATGTTATTTTAGGGGTTGAAAAGGGGGGTGGAAGATTGAGATTTTTTTAATCATGTGTAAGGCTTATAGGCAAGGCGGTGTAGACGTATTAAGAAAGTCAATGCTGATATGAAGAAATGATGATGAAACAAGATTATTATAACAAAAAGAATAATTTTTTTAATTGTTTAAACAATAATTGTTTAAACAATGATTTGTAAAATGTTAAATATCGAAAAATTGCAAGTGACATTAAAATTATCTACATTGGACAAGTCTAAATAATTATATGATATTTTTAAAAATTTGCATTAAACAATCGGTCTGTTATAAAAAAATTTAAACAATTATTTAAACTTTCCTTGAGTCCCATAAATGAACCTGTTGATTTCATATATTATACGGAAGTAAGTTGAAGAATAAGGATAATATGAGAAAATAATATAATATATCAATGTAGAAGAGTTGATTTTTAAAATTATTTATTTAAATACTTTTTATACATGAAATAAAATAAAAAAAATAATTGAAAATAAAAATTTTAAATATATAAAAAATAACAATAGTTTTCAAAGTGATAGTGAACGAATTTCCAGTAGCTCCGAACTGGTAAGCTGCCACAGTGAATTTGTTCACAGTCCCTATACATGTTAACGAAGTTCGCAGTGGTAGTGAATTCTTCACTGTCAAATCAAACTATTTTTTCCATGTGTGGGTTCTCGCTCTTTGCGTAACCCAGGAATAACCAACGTGGAGGTGGCGAGTGTATATTCCCTTTTTTTTTTGTTTTTTTTTGGTATTTTACTTTTTATTGTTTTTTTGTGTTTTTTACAATAATTAATAACCAACGTGGAGGTGGCGAGTGTATATTCCCTTCTCTTTTTTTTTTATTTTTTTTCCCTTTTTTTGTTTTTTTTTGTTTTTTATTTTTTATTGTTTTTTTGTGTTTTTTATAATAATTAATAAATAATTTTTAAATACTAAAATGTAGAAAAATTTTCTGTCACAAATTACACCTCATAATTTTGACAGTAATGAGGAGAATTTTCGTTCTTTGTATCGAAAAAGTGTTCAAAACACATGTACTTTGTACACCAGGCACACCTGAAAAATGCGCGGTCGTCACAATAGTGACAAACTGTATCACAGTTGTCAAAGCAATAAGTCACTGGTGTTTCCCATTGGGGCGGTTTTTCAGCAATGTAACCACTTTTGTACCAAGCATATTTAAAAAGGTTAATAAACCTTGGAGATGAGAACTGGTTATGCGTTAGAGATTGCAATTTCAAGATATTATTCCTTAAATGCAAATTAACATCAAAGTCGAACAAAATCACGGAATCAGAAAAATGCTTCACAAAGTTTTTCCAAGGTCTAAACCTGTAAACATCAAGGGGTTGTATTAAACCTGTTGTTCCTGCAGGTATTGTAGAGATTTTGACTTCTTTTCCATTTGTGTTAACTTTATCCAAATTTTTTTTTGTCTGTCCCGTCCACGAATAAAAGCATTGACTGTTCATCAGCAACAGGTATGTAAACATCTTTAAACCATTGAGCTGCTAGATCAGACGTTAATTTTCCAGAAGTTGATGCAAGTACAACTATGTTGTCAGCTTTATACAGATTTTTTTTAACCAGTGGTCCAAATTCTCCCCCTTTTTCTTGTAGAACAATAAATAAAGGTGACTTTAATAATCCGCTAGCAGTCACTGTAGGTTGAATGGTGTAACTATGCGTTAAGGAATTTAAAGATTGTGCTACACATTCAATCTTTGTATCCCCTTTAAAAGATAAAGTCCTGCCACCGTGTGTTTCCAGATTAAAACCAGATTGGTCTGAATTATAAACATTATCAGCACCAAATAGCGAGATTTTTTCACTAACATCGCGAACAAAGTGATCTGCATTTTCTTTTAATTCATCATTATTTGTTAGGTGCTTTTTGGTAATGAATTTGTTTATTTTTCGTGAAACAATTCTGTGTTCCTTCTTAAAATTAAAAATCCATTTTCTGGAAGCAGCAAACAATTCTTTGGATAAATTTACATCAGCTCTCGATTTCAAAGCCCATCTTCTTATGTCTGCATCATGAATAGGCAAAGATTTATCATGTGCCTTTTGAAATTCATTTAAAACATACTTGCATATTTTTGACAATTTTTCGATTCTATCGCCACCTTCTTCAATTTGCTTTTCCC